CCCCGCCCTGAGCATAGAAAACTCTTCCATAATGGCCGAAAGGAGAGGATTGCCAGGGTTATGCTACGCTCACTCTCTGAGGAATGTGTTAGTTTGCAGAAAGTTGAAAATAGAGCTCTCTGAGGCTTGCAGTCAGGCCTGTTGGGTGAACAGGCCTAAATTATACTAGGTGATATTTGTTATGTCGATGATGTTAGACTCTATCAATGATCAATGTGTGGCTGGTTTTTGAAAGAAAACCCCACAACCTCTTCTGATTTGATTGATGAGAAGACAAAAGTTAGGCCCTGGTACTTTGCTATCAATGATAGTACATGTTGTTGACTCCTGATTTTTACTGAGGACTCACAGATCAATGTCGACAATGGTTATAGAAAGAAGTTTGAGTTCACCTGTTTCTTCCGATTACATGATCTGAGCTTAACGTCATCTGTAATATGTGTCTTTGCTAACAACTCAACATGTATTCTTCCTTCGAGAGCTTCTGGCTATGGGAAAGGGCAGTACTCGTGTATGTTATGTTTTTATCTGTTCATACTTCAAGCATGTGACCACTGACTTCTTGTACAATTATTGCTTGCACCAATACTTGAGACTTTATTCATCTGCATTCTTCGGACTGCTGCCACAGCTTTCATGTTTTCTCAACTAATTGTTTCCATTTTTTGTAAAATCAGCTAAATTAGAATACAAATTTACTTCATATGTGAAATTTGCACTGTCATAGTCTTTTATTGACATTTTTACCAATTTGACAGTTGATTGTTTTTACATGATCGAGTTTTAGTTCAATGAACATTGGGCTTTGTTGAGCTTTTTTTTTTGACTGAGTCCACCGTCTGATTTCTATGACTATTTGTCCTGGAACGTTGCAACTCAGATGTTCCATGGGCTGATGGTGATAATACTGAATACATTTTTTCGCTCATCTGAACAAATTTCCGGGTTTTTTCCCATCTTTTTATTTTTTCCCATGAATTTTTTTTTTCTCTTTTTTTTGATCCATGCACCTGTATTTTACAACGTTATCCCACCATACAAGGCATGTGAGGTTTCCAGGGGTTCTGGTTTGTGCACACAGTGGTTTTGGCATGTTGTTTTAGTTGATGTTGAGAGCAGGTCTATATCTGTCTGTGGTGAGTGTCCAGGCTGACTACACTGATAGAAGGACATCGTCTCATTAGGGGATCTTGTAAGGCTGCTTTTCTGTTGTCTTCTCTCTTTTATCCAAAGCAGCCATTATCTCT